TCTGTCTCTTACATCTTTGAAACACTCTTCTGTTCCCCCCTCTCGACTTTTTTCAATTTGATATTCCTTCCTCTCTGTGAGGGCTGAAGTCAACTAAAGGGCTAATGATAACCATCAAGACGCCTGCCATTTGATATAAATAAATAAATAAATAACTTTTAAAATCATTACCTGATAAGTTCGACGCCCCCATCGATGTCGTGTTTGCTCATCAAACGAGGCAGGACTTTCCGAGCCTGCCTCCCTTTCATCATTGCTTCCCTCTTCTGCCACTGGATACAAAGGACTTCCCGTTACAATCATCTTGTTAATATTCTCGAAGTTTTGACATCTTCGCATTTGTGGAAGACCAGATTTCTCTTCCTCTTCTGAAATCGTCCCGAGTTCTTCACCCTCCACTTCCGAGAACTCAATACTTTCATCATCTTCGTCATCACATCCAGCTATTATTCGAACACTTTCATCGTCTAATGGGCTAGCTTGGCCCCAATTAGCAATTGCATACGCTTGAAAATCAATTCCCGGAGTTGGAGTAGTACCATCCAGAAATATTTCTTGAGGCTCATTGACTTGTACACGTCGCAAACACCCCCAGCCTTCTTCAATAACTGGATCAATGTGATAAACACAACTAATCGGACTAATATCTTCGTATTGGGTGGATATCATTATTTCGTTTGGCACCTGTTGGTGAAGAACGCGTTTTGGCTCACTGCGTTCTTCTAATTGTAGATAGGAAAAATTATCATACAAAATATTCTTTTTCTTTTTTAAACCTTCAAGAGAAAGATGTCGAGATAAAAGTCTATTCACTGAGCGTTTTGGCAGCTGGGAATCGGAGGTGGTTGTGGTTGTGAGTATAGAAGTGCTTGAAAAACTGTGATGTATTTCAGCAAGCTCTTCCTCAGCTTCTTCTGAGATTGGTCCAAAAGGTGGGTCATCAATTTGAAAAACGTCTTCCACTTCTTCTCCTCCTTCTTTACGCTCAAAATGTTCATTTACTTTATCAGGATCAATTGTATTTGGGTCATAGTAAGACCAGGGATCACTGTAGTAAGCAGCCATCATTTCATCAGTGAAAGAAGAACCGAAGGCGTAGTCAGGAGCGGTTAGATCTCGATAACAATTTGTTGGTGAAGGGCAAACTCGATTAGGCAGAAAGAGGGATTTGACTCTCTCAGTGTCCGGGCATTCACTATCACTGGACTGAATTGTTTCATCCACCTCAAATGTCCTAAAGGAATGATGGGAATTTTGTGACACAATGGAATCCTCGTCAGGAATTATATCAGGGAAATTAAAAGCAGTTGGGCTTTCAATTTTTATGGTGGGCAGAAGGACGTCCTGATTTTGTGATAAAGTATCTAAAAGAGAAAAATGATAGTAATCAGCCTGTGAATCATAGTAACGAAAATTCGGTTGATATTTAAATTGCAATAAGCTTGATTCCAAATTTTGACCTGTCCATCTATTTGCGACGTTCATGGACTGATATTTTTATTCACCCCTTAACTTCTAAGGGCAACTATCTAATGGCCTTAAGAGACATGTATAACTTGAAATTTGGTACTATTAATGACTCAGTTCGAATTTGGATATTCTGATCACGTGCCTGAAAATGAGACCCTTGGAACGCTTGGCACACACGTTCATACTCGTACATTTACCTCTCGCAGTGGGCCACCTTCTCACCTCGAAATGAATGATTCATTGCACCTTGATGGGTTGAACACAACCTTATTCCAACAACATGGGGTGTGCGATAGAATTACCTCCACGTGGTGCAACCTGGGCAACGTATACTCATACGGCAAAAAAGTCTATCACCTGGCAGTTGACTTCTGACTTCGAACTACCATCACCTCACTGTATGTCATATTCCATAACTTTCACAGTACTCACCACACATTTTCTCTACCTTTGTGTATGTCTCTTTCACATCTTTGAAACACTCTTCTGTTCCCCCCCTCCCCCTCGAATTTTTTCAATTTGATGTTCCTTCCCCTCTGTGAAGTCTGAAGTCAACAAAAGGGCTAATGATAACTACCAAAATGCCTGCCATTTGATATAAATAAATATTACCAAAATCAGTCCGCATTTAATTAATGACAAAAGGAATGGCTTCACACCGACCACAACGCACAATCATCAATTTAAGTTTAACGCAAATGAAACGCACAATTTGTGCCATTTGTGACTTTTTAAAGCAGAAATATATAATAGAGATGGCAAAATACTTGTAAATTACGAAATATAGCAATTATTTTTTTGATAAGATAAGCTCGATTTCCAGAAAACGGAAGATGTACAGAAACTTAACACATCCACGTAGTAATTTAATTTGAGAAAATCTTTCATAAACAAAAGTTTAGATTTATTAAAAGTCGTTGAAGCTAATAAGATGAGTTCCTTGTGGAAACTTGCATGATAGGTACACGATCGCATTAAAATAATAAAATGATATGCTATGATGGGTGCCTCAGTGGAATATTGATCTTGTTGCACACCAAGTACTCCAGAGGGCATAGGTCTGATTCCCATCATCACACACCCAATGAATGAAATATCCAACCGCACTGGTCATGGCTGACGTGCGTTAAGGTAGATAGAACGCATGTGGGACACGTTATCGCTCTGTGCGTCATCGTATGCCTGCATGTCTGCTTGCCAGGATTGGGAGGTGCGGCCGTACAACTCTGTGTGCAGCGACCGTACAAACAGTGACCAATCATCAACCTCTGTTTAACCTAATCCCCCATCCTGATCATGAGTAGCTCCCTGCGTGTACACACTTGATCCGCAATACCCGTACTGAATAAACGTGCTCCGTGCTACGCGTCTGTTTCCTTTATAGCTGGGCTATAGCTTAGCTGGTCCTGGGAGTCTAGCTAGGTGTTGGAGAATCTGCCATAGAGATTTCTGAGTCAGTCGGGCTTTACTAAGGTAGCAATCCGCTACACGTATGTCTCTCCTTCAGGAACGCTTCATCGTCACTTTCTTTACATAATATGAAATTTGGAAAACGATTTCTTAAACACATGGTTAAATTATCATTAATTGAAGTAAAAATCATTTGAAATATTCAGAATTAATTGAATATAATATAATAACCTATTGCCAATCAGATAATTTATAAAGTCAATATTTCAAATGGAACTTTGTAAGTAATTAAAGCTCAAATATGTTAATTGTGAAAAACCTTTGTTTTTTATTTCAATTTGTGTGCAAAATATCACTAGACTTATTACTTTAATTAACCACAACACTCATCGTGAATATAATCGCTTACTTCATACTAGTAGGTAAATTTAACAAAGGCTTCGAAGTTAGAAATGCACAATTTTGTACAATTTTTCCAAGATGAGCACTGAAAGTCGAATAAATATCAGTACTTTCAATTTTAAAGGGATTTTTAATTTGTATGATGTATTAAGTTTGTACGTAATGTTATAAGGCCAAAGATTTGAACCGCCTTTTTTTAAATTACTTTTATGTGCACTATTCTTTTGAAAATCGCAGTATTTACTTCTATTCTTTAATTTTGTCGTGACTAAAGGAGCATATTTGTGTTTGAATCACTTTAAAAGCTGATTTCTCGATCTGGTTTATTTGGCGTGCGTATAAAATTCGGAAAGATAATCAATTTTAAAAAAACCCGCTATTTCTTTATGACACGGGGTGTGCGATAGACTTACCTCCACGTGGTGCGCCCTGGGCAACGTATATTCATACGCAAAAAAGTCTATTGACTGGCAGTTGACTTCCCACTTCAAACTACCATCACCTCACTCTATGCCATATTCGACTATTTCCACAATGCTCACCTCACCTTTGTTCTACCTTTGTGTTTGTCTCCTACATCTTTGAAACACTCTTCTCTTCCCCTCCTCTCGACTTTTTTCAATTTGATGTTCCTTCCTCTCTGTGCGGCCTGAAGTCAACTAAAGGGCTAATGATAACCATCAAGACGCCTGCCATTTGCTATAAATACATCTTTATGACACTATCTCTCACTGCAATATTGCAAGCGAGTGGATTGATTACAATATGTTTATGCAGTTTTGTTTATAGGTAAAATTAATACCCACAATAAAGCGAAAATACAGTAAATCAATAAAATGCTAAGTATTGCTGTGTACTTCCGAATGCAAATGTTTTTACTGAGTAAATAGAGCAATTTAATTTCAATGACCTGTAAATAAAATTAAAGATAACTATTTAGATATTTTAAAGTCTTATTACATTAAAATGAAGCATGGACATTAAAAGGGGGGTATACTTTGGGAAATATTACGATTGTGTACATTACAATATTATGACCAAATTATGGGTGGGAGATAGATTTACCTCTACGTGGTGCACCCTGGGCAACGTATACATATACGACAGAAAAGTCCATTGACTGGCAGTTGACTTCTCACTTCAAACTACCATGACTCTATTCTACGTCATTTTGCACCACTTTCACAGTACTTGCCTTACCCTACTCTCGGACCTTTTGTCTGTCACTTTTACATCTTTGAAACACTCTTCTGTTCTCCCCCTCTCAATTTTTTCATTTTGATATTCCTGAAGTCAACTAAAGGGCTAATGATAACTGTCCAAACGCCTGCCATTTGGTAAAATAAATAAATGACCCAGTTCTTATTGAAAACAAAGCAAAATAATTATTTAAATTACCTCTTTTCTGA